AGGATCGGCCATTGTTTCGTTCTGCTGTGCGTGGGGTCGCTATGAGTCAGTTCCGACTCGATGGCACCTAACAACAACAACAAAATACACGTAGCGTTGTTTAAATCTAGCAGAAACTGTCATTAGGAGCCCTGGTGGTGCTGCAGGGTAAACACCAGATTACTAACTGCCAGGTCCACAGTTCAAACCCACCAGCTACTCCTTGGGAGAAAGTTGAGACTGTCAGATACTTAGCATTGGGAACCCTACACAGAGTTTCTGTAAGTGGTAGTTGACCTGATGGTTGTGGACTTGGTTTTGGGTGGTGGTTGTTAGGTGCTGTTGAGTTGGTTTAGACTCATAGTGATCTTATGCACAAAAGAATGAAACACTGCCCAGTCCTGCACCATCCACACAATCGTTGCTTTGTTTGAACCTCTTCTTTTTGTGTCAGTCTATCTTGTTGAGGGGCTTCCTCTTTTTTTGCTGATCCTCTGCTTTACCAAGCATAATATCCTTCTGCAAGAACCAGTTCCTTCTAATAACCTGTCCAAAGTACCTGCAACCACGTCTTCATCTTGCTCCTAAGGAACATTCTGGCTGTACTTCTTTGTTCTTCTGGTTGTTGTTAAAGTGCTGTTGAGTCTGTTCTGACTCAGAGAGACCTTGTGCAGGGTTTCTGACAAACAGCTGGTGGGCTTGAACCATGCACTTTTGAGGTTAGCAGCCCAGTGCTTATTCTACAAAACCATACCAGGACTCCTGGTAACCCATGGTATGTTGTGGTTTTCGCTAACACTATTCAAAGGCATCAATTCTTTGGTCTTCTTTATTCATTTTCCAATTTATGCATGCATATGAAGTGGTTGAAAATACTGTGACTTAGGCCAGTGGGAGGTGAAGGGGGAGGGGAAAAAATTAAGTGAATAGAGGTAAATACTGTTAATTGAGAAAGAGAAAAAAGAACCCCCTACTACTACATTAGAGTTCTGGTGTGGCACTGTGGGTTAAGGTGCTGGACTGCAATGTCACTTTGAACCGCCAAGTCGCTTTAGAACTGATGGTTCAAGCTCATCATTCGCTCCTCGGAAACCCTATACAGGGTTGCTATGGGTCAGAACTGACTCGACGGCACTTAACAACAACAACAACTACTTATAATAGTGAAAAAAAGTGACATTGTTACTTTTTAACACTTTAAAAAGATCCTTTGCAGCAGATTTTGATTTCTTGGCTGTTGAATCCATGTTACTGAATCCCACTGAAAAGAAATCCCTGACAACTTCAATCTTTTCTCCATTTATTATGATGATGCTTGTTGACCCAGCTGTATGAATTTTTATTTCCTTTATGTTGAAATGTGGCCCATACTGAAGAGTGAAGGCTTGATCTTTATCAGTCTTCACTTTCAGCAAGCAAGGTTGTGTCATTTGCATATCACAGGTTGTGAATGAATGAATTCCTTCAGTCTTGATATTGCATCCTTCACATAGTCCAGCTTCTTAGATTATTTGCTCAGCATACAGATTGAGGACATATGGTGAAAGGATACAGCTCGGACACACATCTTTCCTTATTTTAAATTCCACAATACTCTCTTGTTCTATTTGAACAACTCTTGGTCTCTGTACACATTTCACCTGAGTACAATGAAGTGTTCTAGAATCCCCATTCTTTGCAGTGTTATCTGTAAGTTGTTAAAGATCCACAGGCTTATGCCTTTGCAGAATCAATAAAACACAGGTCAACAACTTTTTGGTGTTCTCTGCTTTTATCCATCTGACATCAGAAATGATCTCCTTCGATCCATGTCCTCTTTAGAATCTTTGTTGGATTTCTGGCAGTTCCTTAATACTGTTGCAACCATTTTAAAATTAGCTTTAGCACAATTTTACTTGTATGTGAAATTAATGATATTGTTTGGCAATCTTCACATTTGTTGGGTCACCTTTCTTTGGAACGGGCATGAATGTGAATGTCTTCCAATTGGTTGGCCAGGTAGCTGTCTTGCAAGTTTCTTGGCATAGAACCTCCAGCAGTACATTTGTTTGTTGAAACATTTCAGTTGGTCGTCCATCCATTCCTGGAGACTTCTTCGGTATCCTCAGTTTTTGATCAGGTACTAACTTTTGAAATGGTCTTCTTTTTGGTACAGTTACTCTGTGACTCCTTCCATCTTCTTTGGATGCTCCTGTGTTGTTCAATATTTTTCCCATAGAATCCTTTGAAGCTTGAATTTTTTTCTTCAGTTCCTTCAGCTTGGGAAATGCTGAGTGTCTTTTCCCCCTTTTTGTTTTCTAACTCCAGGTCTTTTTTCTTTTTTTCCCCTTATATCAACATATATATATTTTTGCATTTTCTATAATGAGCAAGCATTTTTTTAATTGTCTAGTTAAAGCATAACTATTTAAAATAAAGCATAGGTGTTAAAATCAGAAGAATTCAGTTTTGCTTCTAGTTGTGACATTTATTAACTGGCCTTTCTGGACTTGGTTTTCTCACCTGTATAGTGGGAGCAATGATGTTTGCCCTGTGTAGAGAGCAGTGAGATCAAATATGTGAAAATATAGGTAAAAATGCCAACTGGCACGTGAATATCAGTTTTTATTAAACCCAGTTTGATAAATGGCACATGATTATTAGTCTTTATTAGACTCCGTTTAGCTTTTCTTGAATTCGACAGACATGATGATGATGAGAAATTTAGCGTAAATGTCACTGAGTGATCACCGTGCTAGAGGAGGCAGAATTTCCTCATTCTTAGTGATGTGCAAACACCTTTTACATACTTGGCAGTGAAATGAGTTATATTCTTTGTGCTTAGCTTAGTGGGTAGAGTGTTGAAAGTGATGGGATACATCCCAAGGAAAGGCTGAGTGACGATTCAAATGGAACCTGGACATGTGTGAACTAGAGAGGCTACTGAGAACAAAGACTGGCCGATATCGGATGGTGTTTGTAGACAAATCTGCATACTCTTCTTTCTCAGTGAAAACAGAGACGTTGGATTGCCTGCTCATTGAGGGCAGGGTTTGCATCTCTTCTTGCATTTGTGACCTGAGTGCTTAGTTCCACTGCTGGTAAATAGAGAGGACTACAGTGTTTTTTTCTGGGGAGATTTATACCATGTGTACTTGTGGGTGTCAGTTACTTTGAGATATACTGTATTTGTTGTTGCTGTTGTATGCCGTGGAGTCAGTTCCGACTCATAGCAACCTAGTAAAGGATTTCCGAGGCTGTAAATCTTTACGGGAGCAGAAAGCCTCATCTTTCTCCCGCGGAACAGCTGGTAGTTTCGAACTGCTGACCCTGAGGTTAGCATACTGATTCGTAACCACTATGTTACCAGAGCTCCTTATACTTGCATTTAGAAGATTGTTAATATTTCTCTTCTATTAGAAGGAATTTTCTCTTGTTACCTTTGCTTCTCACAACACTGCATAGACACCTAGCTTTTGGTCAGATATTTTTTGTCAACAAACATTTGTGATATACCCTAAGACAGGTGTGATGGTGTCTGTGTAATGGTTTTTCCAAAACATCCCCCCCACCCCCCGGTACTCTTTCCTCAGGAGACAGCAGTATGTGGGGAAGCTCAAGTTTGCCTCCTTGGAATTTTCTCCTGGATCCAAGAAGTTAGTTGTGGCCACAGAGAAGAATGTGATTGCAGCATTAAATTCTCGCACTGGGGATATCTGTGAGTGAACTGGGTTACGTGGCTGGCGTGGGGATGGAAAAACTGGGCACACTGGATCCTGAATGGCCTATGCCTTGTACAAGTCAGCCTGCCTCACTCAGGACAAGTTGGCCAGAAGATCTTCTCCTACAGAATTCTGATATGTTTTGTTTTTCAGTCTTGTTCTCTTTGAATAATTAGTAATGCTATATTACAAACATTAGTTTTAGCACATAGTGATATGTAACGTTAATATTAGTCATAGTAATATTATTAATAACAGTCGATTGGGGTGATAATAACAACGTTATTAGTGATAATATAATGGCCTGAGTCCTGAGTGTTCTCAAATAAGATATTCCTGCACAAACCTACATTATTCTATTCTGCAATTAAGGTTCCAGGTGTATGTCTTAAATGACTTACGTTGGCTGGATTTTCTAGATAATAAAATATTGAAAATGCAATTGACAATCTTGTGAAATGGTTTGGATTTTGTTCCTGTTCCTGTTGACATACATGTTTGATGAGGTGGTTGTGGCAATAGAACGTGCAGAGATACTGATGACTCCTTGCAGAGCCTCTCCTCCCTCCCCATTACTGAGTGAGGGGAGCGGGTCAGCAACCTTTAGTTGTACTCCTTCCCTCATTTGAAAGTAGTTGGACACTGCTGTGCAGACAAGCCGTGTTCACTTCTGATCTAGTCACCTCTCTCCTGCTGTCTTCCTTGATGCCTCTCTGTGGTTCATAGTAATGGGTGACTTTTGTCTCTCTCAGTGTGGCGTCATGTTGACAAGGGCACGCCAGAAGGGGCTGTGGATGCTATGCTACTCCACGGCCAGGGTAAGTACAGTCCTGTTTGGTCTCCCTAGTGTCGCCTCCCTTTCCCCATTCTTTGGTTCCTTCCCTTGTCTAGGACCTGGTAGGGAAAGGAGAATGGGTCTTCCCACCAGGAAAGGACAAGCACTTACTTACTACTGATTTGCATCCATTATGTCAGAGATGAGGCTGCCGCCCACAAGCCCTGGGTCTGTAGAGCTGTAGTTTGGGAGATGGCTTTTCTTTCCCAGATGCAGTCACCGTGTCCAATGGAGGCCGAATCATGCGTTCCTGGGAGACTAACATTGGGGGCCTGAACTGGGAGATCACTTTGGACAGTGGCAGGTAGGGGAAGAAGCTGTCTTCCATCTTGGCTGGGTTAAAGACATTGACTATGTGAACAGCAACTTGGCGTGCTTTGCGGAGACTGCTGAAGAGCCAAACCAGTTCTGTGATGTGTTTGAGGTTATAGAACACACGTGTTTGCTCAGATAGAATTTATTGAGCACCTATTGGGTGCAGAGTTTGGTAGTAGGTTTAGTCTTTGAAAGTATTTCAGTGAGCGGCAGAGCCAGGATTGATATTCAAGTGTGTTCAATCCCAAAGCCTACGTTCTTACCCTCTAAGCAATAGTGAAAATTGTGGGTGATCTCCTCTAGCCTGAGACTCTGGAGGTGCTGGGCAGCGCTCATCCTTTGCCTGTGCTCAGTTTCCAGGCTCTTGGCCTGGTGGGTCTGCAGGAGTCCGTGAGGTACGTCGCTGTCCTGAAGAAGACCACACTTGCCCTCCATCACCTCGCCAGTGGGCACCTAAAGTGGCTGGAGCATCTCCCAGAAAGGTCAGCCTGTGAAATCACCTGCTCTCTGCAAGCTCCTCATTCTCTCCAAGGGTCTTGAAACATAGACTCTGACCCAAGCTTACCTGGGGTAGAGGGTCAGCAAAAACTAGATGGATTGATACAGTGGCTGCAACAGTGGGCTCAGACATAACAACAATTGTGAGGATGGCACGGGACAGGCAGGGTTTCTTGCTGTTGTACATGGGGTCTCTATGAGTCGGAGTTGACTCGACATCCCCTAACAACAACAATAACAGGCTTACCTAATGTGTGACCTAGCGTGTTGAGATCAGGAGGTTTAGGGCTGAACACCAAAGATGTGAATACATCTCGACTAGTCTTTGCAGTGAGAAGAAAACTCTCAAACTGGGGCACTCTTAGAGCCAGTTGAGCAAGGGAAAATGACTCCCCTACTTCTAGTTATAGTCCGTGGGGATTTTTAACTGCTAGTTCAAACCAGACTGGACTTTCTGTTTATATAAGAATCAACAACTTTGAGAAGCGCCCAGGGTAGGGGCTGAGTGATATGTGAGGTGGAAAGCTTTGGGGCTGGGAAGGAACAGGAGGGAGGGAGGGAGAGAAGAAAGGCCTGTGGTCATTTTTATTAGTTTTTTCCAGTATAAAACATAGGATAGTTTCTGTCCTACATTCCTTAGCAGTCAAGTCCTTTTAAAAACTGAAATCTTACGTCAATCTCTGTAAGAATGGCTAACAGTTATTGACTTCTTTCTATGTGCCATTTGTTGTTGTTAAGTGCCGTCAAGTTGGGTTTCGACCCATAGCGACTCTATTTAGGATTTCTGAGGAGCAGCTGGTGAGCTTGAACTGCCGACCTTGCAGTTCAAACGGCTTTACAGTCTGGCGCATTAACCCACAGTGCCTCACCAGAACTGTATGTGCCATGCATGTATTGAATTCAATTAAGTTCTCATAATGATGTTGTTAAGTGCCATTGAGTTGGTTTCAACTCATAGCGACCCTTTGTAGGGTTTCTCAGGAGCTCTGGTAGCATAGTGGTTACGAATCGGGCTGTGAACCTCAATGTCAACAGTTCGAAACTACCAGCTGTTCTGCAGGAGAAAGATGAGGCTTTCTGCTTCCATCAAGATTTACAGCCTTGGAAACCCTGTACAGGGTCGCTATGAGTCGGAACCGACTCCACGGCACATAACAACAACAAGGAGCAACTGGTGGGTTTGAACCTCCAACCTTGTGGTTCACAGTCCAGTACTGATCCTATAGCATCATTACACAGGAGTCCTAAGTTCTCAAAATAGGGCAGGCATACTGCTATACCTGTTGTTGTTGTTTTTCACATAGAGAATTTTATATTCTTTTTACACAACCGAAGGGCACCTTTTGCAAGCCTGCCTCCTGCTACCTACACACAGCCTTTCTCATACCATGGGCCTAGAGTCCTCAGCTGCTCTCTCTCTCTATGGTGTGGTCATTTTTAAAGCTTAGGGCAGGAATCAAAAACACAGGCTCCTGTGGAGCCAAGAGAGTTACATCCATCCTTAAGTGAGCTACTGGGGACTGTTGGGGCTGTGGTGTACCTGGCCCGCATCCAGGGGGGCACAGGAATGTAAGTAAGCTCAGTATTGCCATAGCCTCTAATGTTTAAAGAAAAAGCTGGAAATCTGAGTTTTATATGTTATCTTAGTTTTAAAGGGGGACAGCTAATTCAAAATTTTAAAAAGTGTATAAATCAAACAAAGCCTATTTCAGGATTGTTAGCTTATGACATCTGGCTGCGCCCTGGTTTTGGAAGACCCCTGAGGAGGGTCCTGTCTTATGGCTACAGCTATTGCCCCTGCTTTTCCTTCCCTCTCTTAGTGACAGCATCCATTACCAGATGGTGTATTCCTGCGGCTCAGGGGTGGTGTGGGCCCTTGGAGTTGTTCCTTTCAGCCATGTGAACGTTGTCAAGTTTAACGTGGAAGATGGAGAGATTGTTCAGCAGGTATGGAAGGGCGCCTGGCTTCCAGGCCTTGTGAATTGGGGAAGGGCGTTGCTAGAGCCTTTCTTTGAACTAAGGACCTGGGAACTTGGTTGTGTAGTACAAAAACTCTTTAGGATCTCTGACTCTGGTCGCTAACTGGCTGGTTTCTCTTCCTTGTCGAACATTTATTAAGCACTCACAAAAGTGCATTGGCCCAGTCGATGTCTACCCTTAAAAGTGCATTGGCCCAGTCGATGTCTACCCTTAAAAGTGCATTGGCCCAGTCGATGTCTA